CCCCAGGCCTTGAAACCTTCACAGAGGGAACCCCAGGTGGCCCCGCTCCCCACTCCTAACCTTTTGCTGACCCCCACACTCCCCTGGAACAGCCCCATCTCCGGGAGCCCCCTCTGGCTCCCAGACTCAGAAACTGTTCTTGGGCTATGTTATCTTCTTCCCTAACTCTCCACCCAGCCCCTTCATTCTGTCCAGATGTGGAGACCTCCACACCCTCTCCAGAGCCCCTAAAAGCTCCTCTCCACGGCTCAGCCAGACACTAGGTGCATCAAAGCTTCCCACCTGCTCAGCCCCAGGACCCCTTCACACACACTACACTGATGTCCCCAGTTAGCTCGGCACCCCCAGCCCTGCTCTGCCACCTCAAACTCCGACTCTTCTCAACCCCAGCCTGCCACCTCAAACTCCGACTCTTCTCAACCCCAGCCTCAGTCTCTCTACCTCTGAAACCTACCAAGTCACTTTCCTTTCTCCATCCACTCCCAAATTCCTCCTCATACTTTTCTAGACCATCTCCCAAAGCCCCCGGCCTTTAGCCTGCTGCCTGCATCTTCCCTGTGTCACCCTGAAGCCGAGCAGCTTCCCCATGCTCTGGGAGCTGATCTTTTCCCAAGAACTCCCCTCCCCAACTCCATTCCACCCCCAATCCGCTTCCTCCCTCTGCAGATTGACCCTCCTCCCTCCTTGTTCTCAGGCCCCCTGCTCTGTTTCTCTAGCTCCTCAACTTTTCTCTTTCCCCACTCCCACTCCTCCCAAGGAAACACGCCCTAAACTGCCACCGAATGAAGCCTGCTCTCTTTAGCGTCCTGTGTGAAATCAAGGAGAAAACCGGTATGTGGGCCCTCCTCTGGTTGCTCAACTCTGGGGACACAAATCTGTTCATTATAGGGCTAGAGTGTGACAGCTTGGGGGCCTGAGGAAAGTGAGGAGTCAGGGGCACTGGGGAAGGAACCAAAGCCTGGGAACTTGGCTCTCCAGGAAGCACCAGGAGGACTGAGCACTGGGTATGGGGTCCCTGGGTCCTTAAGTCCACTCGCCTGCATGCTAGGCCTCAGCATTCGGAGCTCCCAGGAGGAGGAGCCGGTGGACCCACAGCTGATGCGCTTGGACAACATGCTTCTGGCAGAGGGTGTGGCTGGGCCCGAGAAAGGGGGCGGCTCAGCAGCAGCAGCTGCAGCCGCTGCAGCCTCTGGGGGCGGCGTGTCCCCTGACAACTCCATCGAACACTCGGACTATCGCAGCAAACTTGCCCAGATCCGTCACATATACCACTCGGAGCTGGAGAAGTATGAGCAGGTAAGGAGAGGAGGGTGGAGGGAAGGGCTCTTGCAGGGGAATCCCATGGCCAAAGGGCTCCTTCTCAGCAGCCCACTGGCCCCCACTACAGGCATGTAATGAGTTCACGACCCATGTCATGAACCTGCTGAGGGAGCAGAGCCGCACCAGGCCCGTGGCCCCCAAAGAGATGGAACGCATGGTGAGCATCATCCATCGAAAGTTCAGCGCCATCCAGATGCAGCTCAAGCAGAGCACCTGCGAGGCTGTCATGATCCTGCGTTCCCGTTTCCTGGATGCCAGGTGGGCCCAGGGACCCGAGCTGGCCCCCAGCACTCCTTCCCATTCCTCTCCAAGACCCTGAGCTGCCATGCTGCACAACGTGGTACTCCATGACAATGGTGACTCTGGGGTCATGCCATGTGACAGCCCTGCCAGGACACCAACACCCTCCTCACCGCTCTTCTCCCTTCTCTGTAGACGAAAGCGCCGTAACTTCAGCAAACAGGCCACTGAGGTCCTCAATGAGTATTTCTACTCCCACCTGAGTAACCCATATCCTAGTGAGGAGGCCAAGGAGGAGCTTGCCAAGAAGTGTGGCATCACCGTGTCTCAGGTATTATGGAGGTTTCGGGAGGAGTTGTCAGGCAAAATGCACGCATCTCAGCTAGGTGCAGTGGTGTGTTCCTGTAATCCCAGCTACTAGGGAAGCTGAAGTGGGAGGATCACTTGAGTTGGAGACCAGCCTGGGCAACAGCATAGTGAGACCAGAAGAAAAACAAATGCTGTCACTCACATCTTATTCAGTGAAGGACTTCGGAGGCAAATGTTTCTACCCGACCCTCCTTTCTGCCCCACAGGTCTCCAACTGGTTTGGCAACAAGAGGATTCGCTATAAGAAAAACATCGGAAAGTTCCAAGAGGAGGCAAACATCTATGCTGTCAAGACCGCCGTGTCAGTCACCCAGGGGGGCCACAGCCGCACCAGCTCCCCGACACCCCCTTCCTCTGCAGGTGGATCCCACTGTCACCCTGGCTGACTGTTTTGCACACTTCCTGCTTTTGTTCCCACTTCCTACCTAGGCAAGATCATAGCAGAGAGGGGGCCTTTTGGGGTGACAGGGACCAAGCTGAGATAGGCTGGAGATGTCAAGGGACAGAGGCCACTCCAGTGAACTTAGTTCTGCCTTTCTTCCCACGGGTGGCCATGGGAGGCTAAGGAACAGCCTGCTCTTTCTGCGTGTTGGAATGTTGTTTTGTGGATAATTGGAGTATAGTAGCACGTCCCCACAAGAGCTGAGAGTTGTGGTTCATCCCCTTTCTACCATCACGGGCTCTATTACACTCTTCCCTCTCTGCCCCCCACAAGGCTCTGGCGGCTCTTTCAATCTCTCAGGATCTGGAGACATGTTTCTGGGGATGCCTGGGCTCAACGGAGATTCCTATTCTGCTTCCCAGGTCAGATGCCCATCTCCTCTCCAGTAGGGCTTTCCCCAACTCCATTTCCCCTACTTGAGGATACAAGACCTCTTTCCTCTGAGGCTTCTCTTCACTGTCACACCTTCCTCCGCTGCCCGCAGGTGGAATCACTCCGACACTCGATGGGGCCCGGGGGCTATGGGGAGAACCTCGGGGGAGGCCAGATGTACAGCCCACGGGAAATGAGAGTGAGTGGATCCTGAAGCCCCTCTCCGTCCAGTTCTCGCAGGACAGAGGGGCATTTTCCCTAGTAGTGTTGTGCCCACACAGGACTCCCGGGGCCTTGTCTGTTTTCTATACTCTGTCTTTCTCTTCTTCCAGGCAAATGGCAGCTGGCAGGAGGCTGTGACCCCCTCTTCAGTGACATCCCCAACGGAGGGACCAGGGAGCGTTCACTCTGACACCTCCAACTGATCTTGCCCCTCAGGGTCACAGGGGTGGGGGCTCTCACAAGGCGACTCTTGAAGAGGACACAGGCTTCCAGAGGACAAACCCCAAATACAGGAGAAGCACAAGACAGAGAAGGGCCAATGGGGTCATCCCCTCCCTAACTAGACTCTCTGTGCTGGGGGTGCTAATTACATGGCAGGAAGAATGGGGCCTCTAAGGGGAGTGTGGGGTCTGTCTCCCCCTTTTTTCCATCTTTTTCCTCTCGCTTTCTTTCTTACACAGAAACATACATATACCCAGAAACCTATCTCTCAGACCCCTTTTTCTCCTGTCTTCCTCTCTCTCCCTCTCCCACACCTCACACACACACTCCCACTTGCAACTATTCTCTCTGGGCTCCCCCACTTTCCCTTCCCCACCCCACTTATATGTTCTGGAATCTGTGGAGACGCCAGCCCTGCCCAACCAGAGATGCCAAAAATGGGGACATGACTTCTGGACAGAGGACGTGGGCCACGCCCCCATGCATCCCCACGCCCGCCCCTCCAGACGGCTTACTTACCTCATATGCAGCTCATCTTAAACCAATAGAATCGCTCGGTGGAC